TTGATGTTTGGCAGTATGCTTAACGTTAACTTGTTGTATTATATCCAACACACCCACACAGTCCTTACCAGCGTGTTGATGTTTGGCAGTATGCTTAACGTTAACTTGTTGTATTATATCCAACACACCAATGGAAAACAATGGAATTTGCATGAACTTGTGCTATTTAGTATTACTAAAGTTTCATGGTTTCATTGTTTGGCTCTATATAGGACTACATGATTTTAGATATGTAAATATAATAAATAGGACTACATAATTCTTAATGATTGTAAAGATTGTAAAGCGCATTAGATCATATATTTTAATGAATTTTTGCGCTATATAAGTAATAAAATTATTATTATCAGCAATAAACACGTTTGAATACTAATTAGATAAGCTAGATAGGGCGTAATTTCGTAACCTACCAGCATGACAGGACTAATAATACAATCACTTAAAACTATTATTATTATTATTATTATTATTATTATTTATTATTATTATTATTATTATTATTATTAACACACCCAGTACAGTCCTTACTAACGTGTTGAGGATTGGCAGTATCCTTAACGTTAACTTAATGTTTCGTAATTAAGAGAAACTGGGATGGAATAACAATAAGAATGGGAAATAGGAGTGGGAAATGAGACATAAATCGGAGGGGAAACTGGCAATTCAAAAGAAGACTGGTGATGACTTTGTGGTGCATAGGATTGTGGGATCAAATCTAGGATACAAAATGGCGGAGTGTTTTGATCTTGTGTCCATGCCATTCCCACAATACTATGCGCCACGAATTCGTTACCAGTTTTTCTTTGAACTCTTGAAAAAGCCTATATGTAGTATTTGGAGTTTTCCTCCCTATATACTCACCTATGATAATAGAAGCAGGAATGAGAGTCCACCATGTACTATAGTAATTCGCAGCAGTATACACGAAATAACCAGACATGGAGATGACCATGGTCCATTTACATCCCACACGGGATATCATGTAAGGAGGCACAAATATCGCTGAGAGCATCATGAGTCCATAAATGACACACAGGGAAGCCAGGCCAAGTCCTTTGTGTGAGTTCAGACTGCTTTGAAGGTTCTGTAGCGATATGTAGGCAGTAAAAAGGAGAGTGAAAGAAATAGAACAGATGAAAACGTTTAACAAAATTGAGCACTGTTCACGTTTCTTCTGTTTGGTTGTCATGGTAACAGGTTGTTCAGGGGAGCAAGGATCGTCATGTGTAGACGTTTCTATGTCCTGTTCGTCTACGGACTTCTCAGTCATCAGGCACTCTTCCGCATCCTTCTCATCACTACAACGTAATTCAAAATATAAGGTATGAGAGAAGGCCTCGCATGTACTGAAACGTCACACGGTACAGAGTTAATGACATCTCTTCAACCAATAACAATGCTGACGAAATCACTAGTCTTAGTCGACCTTAGTCGCATGATGTCTGACAACCAATCACAGTGCACGAGGTCTTAGACACATGAAATCTGCAAATCAATCACATGATGTCTGACAACCAATCACAGTGCACGAGGTCTTAGACACATGAAATCTGCAAATCAATCACATGATGTCTGACAACCAATCACAGTGCCCGAGGTCACTAGTCTTAGTCACATGATGTCTGCCAACCAATCAGGTGATATCTGCGAACCAATCACAGTGCACGAGATTACACTATACCTGCGCTATCATATCTAAAGGAAAGCGCAAGCAGAACGAACGTTTGTCAGAAGTCCAAAGTTCATGGTCCGGAAGGGTATTCGCGGGAGAAGGGAAATTGATAAAATATAGCGCGGGAGCCGGGAAACTAGTAAAAAAATATTACGTGATTCGGGATATTGACTCTGCCGTGACTGTCCGGGATGTAGGACTTTGCTTTCCTTCAATAACCGTTGGTAACGCACTCTCTAGTAAACACTCCTCTTTTGAGTGTTTACCAGAAAGTGCGTTACACACCACAGGCAACCCATAAGAAACAAAACACCAACGGTTATTGATTTGAATTTAACGGCTATCACTTTACAGCGCCGATCTGATCACACCGCAGATCTGATTACAGCTTATGTAATAGGAAACCGATCACAACACAGGAAACCCACAAAGAGCAAAGTTACTTTTCTAAAAGAAGCCAAAAATATATAGCCGGGTTCCCTGTGCACGCGCCGGCAAATCATTGAGACCGTGCGATAAGATATTATCTTTCATCTTAGCAAATATTTGTGGTTGTTAATAAGTAACCTGAATAATAAAATAATTGTTGATGCAATAGATTTTAGAATAACTCGACTACAGTAATTTAATGTGTCTACAGAAAATTTAACCGGCAATCGCTGTACCTCACTAGCATAAAACGTTCGTTACATGAAAAAAAAGAAAAAAATAGCACAAGTTAAATTTATTATATATATCAGTCTCTAGCTAAGCGTTCTGAAGGTAATTTTCTATTCAAATTTCAAAAACAGATCAGTAAGACGTGTGTACCAGTAAAAAAAACTGCGCTTCCACATGAGGATTCATATTCCATCCCAAGTTTGAATGAATCGACTTTATTTAAACACGAAATAAATCATCACGTAAGATACGTGACAAATAGCTTCTTTTGTTAATGAAATTCTCAGCTACACTAAACTTCGCTTGGAGAAATTTTCATTATAAACTGATTCCTTATTACATGGAATTTCCTTTTGAATGTTTTCAACTGTATCTTAGAACTAAAAAGAGGTTGAATTTTGTACTAAAATAGGTCAGGCCATTTAAGAGTTTACCTCGAATCGGCTTTTTGTTTTGCCATAAAAATAACTCTCTTGTATAGCTTCCTGTACTTCTGCCCTTTGCTAAAATACGATGAAAATATTTTGTGTCCTTCAAGCTTCGATGTGAACTGTTCACCCCAACGTTATTTAGAGTATTTCAGCTTTCTTCATATGTGGGTTTATGGATTTATCCATGGCGGCGTTTCTGATTTGCTCTGCTTCGTGACAGTCACGCTGACAGCAGGCCGGGAACATGTGATTTACATACGTCTTGTCAGGGCATCCTGCGCGAGGGACTAAGTACGACTCGTACGTTTAAGCCGGGTTTACTTTGTGCATCCTCAGGAACCAGGAGGCGAGGGTGTTCTTCGTGTTGTGTCACAGTCTGTATAACATTTGGGTACATCTGGACTACTACAAATTGTCCGTCAGTCTTCAAGGCCACCCTATAGGTTGCTATCAATAGACGTCACTTCCGGTAATAGCTCTTTTTTGTCGATGGCTTGTAGAATCCTGGAGGTTGTTTTGATCTCTCGTTTTCTGGTTTGATGTCGTAAAAATAGTCAAACACAATAGTTTGAGGACTTATTTTGATATGTTTTGACTTAGCATCCGCTAGTTGCCCCTCAGTCAACCGCTTGTTTGCCCCCCAGTCAACTCCAAAAAGTCACGTGATTGATAGTTAGCAAAATAATTCMCATGTAATCAAATAAACAATGGGGCGTTGATGCTTCTAGTAGACAGGCACTTCATGCTATCTATAGAAATCGGAGTTAAACAAGTGCTCTTCAAGGGCGTATCCAGGAGTTTTCAAAGGAGGGTCCTTACACACCAAACTTTTACTATGACGTCACAGGACTATGGTACGTTTTGCTCTTTTTTATCGCTTTTGTGGCTTAGAAAGGGGGGTCACGGACACCCTAGGACCTCCCTAAATGCGCCCGTGCTCTTTATGGGGAAAAACATAAAACATACACAACATTTGAGATAAAACAATTTATTTCCAACGTCCCTCCAGGACTTCCCACGTATTTCCTTGAATTAGTTTTGGATACTTCCAACAATTTCCGTCATTCACTTCCAACACATTTCCTACCTATTTTCAACATTGGCTTCGGACATATTTTCAACACAATTCCGGCAGTATATTAATTCCCACAAATTTCCAAYATGCGCGCGTCTGACATTTCCAACATATTTCCATACCATGAAATTTTCCAAAAGGTTTGAGGACTGATGTATTGCGAAGCCATTTCTACCCAGTTTTTTTTTTYCATCGACCTCGGATAGGCTATCAAAGGAAGTGATTATTAATTATCAAAAACAAGATGAAAGGTTGGAGAGAAACGAAACAAAATATTCACCCTCCCTCCTCCAATTATTCGCTGAAATAGACATAAAAACCCTAGGGCCGAAGTTGAATCAAAATAAAACATCCTCGATTTTCGAGTCGCTTGATCAACTTTATTCAACTTTATTTCATGCATTTATTCTCACAAATATTGAATATGTGGTAATGAACATTCCAAAGACATAAAGGCAAATTAAAGGGTCATTAAGGTTCCACTCAGTCCAAAAGGGGGTCATCAAATATTTCATAATACATAAGGGGGAGGGACAAGAATTCAACAAATTTCGAGGAGAGGGTCACTTTTTTATACAGACAGAAGAAAAGGAGGTCTTAATATTTTACACTACTGTTTATAGGGATTCCTCAGGTCCACCCTCCTCCTAAAAAAGGATGTTCCCCAAGAATGTTCGCGATTAACTTATATATAGGTATATTGATCGAATCAAATGTCATATAACAATGAAAAACTCACGCTATGAACTTGCCGTGCCGTGCTAGACGGTGCAGTTATAGACCATGTTCATCCGGATGAGTGAGCAGTAATCTATAGTGCGCTGTGATTGGTTCAGAGGGTATCGTCATTCCTACACCGTGACCCTGCTTTATTACGTGCCATTTCAATGTCACCCATAATCTAGCTTATGCTAACTGCTTTTGAAAAAAATTGCTATTTTTGAGTAAATCTGCTATTGAGCTCATAATAAAATTGTTGGGTTGAAACGTGTTTCAAATCTAAATTCAAATTCTACAAATTCCAATTGTTCTCAGTAAAGTACCGACTCTGTGGATATGCCACTGCTTAAATCCTGTTTATTGTCTTTTTTAGTGTGTAGGCTTGATAGTGTGCAGACCATATGCGTCATCTTTATTGGACTCGTCCTTCTTCTGATTCACCTCAGCTTAGAATGCTTGAGGCCGTATTTTCATCTCAGTGAATTTCAGTGACAAACCGTTATTGCTAAACGTATTCCAGTTGACTCCCTTATAATCATTAACATCCCCGAGATACCGACCGTTTAGATTTGAATGATAGCAAGACTTGTACCACCAGGCACCAGTGTAAGAAATAGTACAACTTCCACTATAATCCCTGTCTTTTGTACTGAATGGCATGTTGTTATGGTATGTCAGCGAGTCCCCTGCATTACCTGAATACGAACCTACACTCAGCCTGTAGTTGTCTGACTCACCATTAACACTAATATACATAATATACACTTACCATATTTGGCATACTTCCTTGTTCCTGCCCAGTCCTCCATCTCCACGCGCAATGTCGAGGGAGTTCTTGCAGTCAGTCGATGGATGTAGTCATTGCCCAGCCAAAACTCGCCATTCAGGTTCCCAAAACYTGTTTTGTACGGCTGCCAGTCAAGATAAAAGTCTACTGATCCATCTTGTCTTCTCTGGAACACTGTCCAYCCCCCTCCGTCAGTTGTCATGTCACAGTAGACTTGCAAGGTTCCTTGATTGTCTGGTTTGATGGTGTACACTCCGTTACGTCTTTCGCCATTCTTGTAGAGATCTGAACAGTCTAGTCGAATTACTAGTAAAAAAAGTTATCTTATTTCATATATTTGTTCAAGAGAATATGAAGTAAGAGAGCATGTCCCTGTGACCCATGAAAGTTTCTTGAAAATCTATTTTTAGCTCCGCGCGCTAGTCTGAGCTATTTTAGCATTCCAATCTTGATTGGTCAGAGTTGTAGTGACGTCATAGGTACAGAAGAGATCGGCAGTGACAAAGCAAGTTTCAAGCAGTTAACAAACCAAACTTTATTCAATTTGACGAGAAAATGTGTTTAGAGGACTTCCTTGAGAAATTCTGAAAGGTTTTTGAAAGAATCCATAAACAGCATATGTAAAAAATAATCAGCTGAGACAACATCATTCAAGCTTGTTTTTAAATCAAAACAATGGTCGCTCGATTGAGACTCAATCATTTTGGAGTTGATTGCAGTTATAGATGAGACTGTAAGTTATTCCACAATTCTCCACCTAAACTGAAATACAGCTAATATTGCTGCATCCGAAGAACACGTACTTCTGACCTGAACTTCAGTGTTTTCAAAATGACAAGTTATCTAATGGACATCTAAAATGAAGGTAGATTGGACTCGTTTACGAAAGATTTTCGATGAACAAACTTCGGTTGAATTCACTGAGTCAAAAGTTTAAAAAACTTTAAACTTGAGAGAAAATTTAGCATTTACTGTTAGAATCAGTTGTTTACCAGTAAAAAGAAGAGGTTTTAAGATAGCTGAAAACAGTCAAGCTGCTCAGAATAGAAGAATTAAACATAAAGGCACAAATACGCCGAACTGAGAGCATCTGGCAGAAAAAATCGCAAGTAAAATGCCCTTCAATCAGGTAAAAATAATCTCTTTTTTATTAGTTTGAACCCTCAAATACTAAGTTTGAAATACCTGAACATTGAGGCGGAGCGAAAATTCATGGTGCAAAATTTGAAAGTTCTAGTTTTAGAGTCAAACTTTTTCATTAATTCGCCTTTTCTCAATGGGCAATGTCTTTTGCATAAGCTGACACACCGTATTTTGGCAAGCTAAACATATTTAATAATTGTGAAAAATCATTTCAGTGCCTCTTGTAGTTTTTTCCTCTGTGAAAACGGAAAATTTTCTTCGGCACATTTCGGTGCAAATAGCGGTTTTTCTGATTCGTGTGTGAAACAAAATACTGGTCTTGTTCATCGTCTTCTTAATTACTTCAACTTAAACTTTATTTACTATAGAAAACACTACGGTAAATGCTTTTTTGGCTGTATTCACTGTAGGTTTTTCGCTATTTTCATCGTATTTTTTATTGCGGTTTCCTTCCCCATGGCGTCTTCGCTGTTTTTAGCGCTTGTTCGTATGTGACTGAAAGCCATCCTGATTTGATCTTTTTCGATGTTCTTTTACATCAATTGTTAAGTTAAAGTTTAATTCGTCCATGGAGAACATATGATACTTTAATCATTTCAACTTTTTACTAATTTTGAAGGCATTCTTCTCGTCGGAAACTAAACATTTTTCGCTCGCATGGAAGTCACTACAACTCTGAGCAGTAATAAGGGATCGCATGTTAAAAATAGCTCAGGCATGCGCGCGCAGCTAAAGATAGATTTTCAAGAAACTTTCATGGTTACAGACCCATGTATGGGAGATGTGCTCTCTTACTTAATATTCTCTTGATTCTTGATTTGTTATAAAGGTAACACATAAAATACGCAGTTTTTCAATCATGCTTTCACGTAAGTACCTCTGCAATCCTTCCCATTTCCCGTGAAGCCAGGTTTACACTGACATCTAAAGGAACCAGGTGAATTGATGCAGGTTGCGTCAGAATGACATCCATGAGATCCCATGCATTCATCGATATCTACAAAGATAGAATCAAATCAGTAGGAATGGGGTGTCTATAGGCAAATAGCTGAAACAGCGTTGTTTCCATTCGTGACGTCACGTTCTAGCTCTCTGATTTTCGAAATGAAGGCGAGTTTGAAGACCGATAGATGACGGATAAAATCAAATATTTACTCAAGATTTACTTTATTTGGTAATGCAGCTTTCTTAGTTTTTCAATCATGTTTTCATTTACGTACCTCTGCAATCCTTTCCATTTCCCATGAAGCCAGGTTTACACTGACATCTAAAGGAACCAGGTGAATTGATGCAGGTTGCGTCAGAATGACATCCATGAGATCCCATGCATTCATCGATATCTACAAAGATAGAATCAAAACCGGTCAAACCGGTCAAAAAGATTTGTCCTATAACGTATGAAGATCTTGTCTAGCTAACACAGCGAGCTGTAGGCACCATGGTTTACGCAGGATCAGAAGGAAAATCACTAACATTACCACGTTTATCCGGTAA